CACGCCGGGCACATGTGTGTGCGTGCCCAAGATCCCGAGAGGAGAATGGAGGAGAAGGGATTGCGGCGTGGCCATCCCCTCTGGAGGGTGATTTTTCGCTTTCTGTCTCTATGTCTCTCTCTGTCTGGCGAGCGCACGCGCCCCATAGCGAAAACCTCTCAAAATAAATAAATAAATAAAGACTAGAGTCTGTCACCAGACAGCTGACCCTGTGGGACAGAGAGCAGCGAGGGAAAACAGCTGGCCCTTGGCCTCCAACTCTGACTGCATAAGCACAGGCTGGTCTGAGGGTCTTCCCAGGAGAAGGCAGCATGGGTACCTATGGAAGGTCTGATGCAGACGCTGGGCTTGGGCCTGCAGTGAGGGCAGCACTGTGGGGCAGGCCAGGTCCAGCTGGGAGATGGCCATCATCACAGAGTACGCCTTCCTCACCGTGCATGGCCTTCCCTAGCCCCGGAAGCTCCAGACAGGCCCACCATCTCCATGGCCTCTGAGACTTCCGTGTATGTGACCTGGATTCCCCGTGGGAATGGAGGCTTCCCAATCCAGTCCTTCCGTGTGGAGTACAAGAAGCTAAGGAAAGTGGGAGATTGGATTCTCGCCACCAGCGCCATCCCTCCATCGAGGCTCTCCGTGGAGATCACAGGCCTAGAGAAAGGTAGGTCCCTGGCCACCCTCCTGCCTGATCCTGGCTGCCCCTGACCACCTGGAGGAGGAGATTTGGAAACCTCTCCTCACTCAGTCCTTCACCCTCTGGCCTGTGTGCCCACATGCTGTCATAGTTGTCACCTCTCCCAAGGCCTTTCTTGCCCCCTCTTTCCACAAGAGGGTCCAGAGCCACTTCCCCTTTGGCTCCTGTTCGATGATGATGGACGGTCTTGTGACTCCGCTGGGGACTTGCTTTGGAGAAGGGCTGCCCAGAACACTTTAGTCCTGGGCCTCCGGGGAATCAGAACGTGTTTCTCAGCTCCCAGGCTCAGGGAGTATCTCTCTCACCAGGCACTTCCTACAAGTTCCGAGTCCGAGCTCTGAACATGCTGGGAGAGAGCGAGCCCAGTGCCCCGTCGCGGCCCTATGTGGTGTCGGGCTATAGCGGCCGCGTGTATGAGAGGCCTGTGGCAGGCCCTTACATCACGTTCACGGACGCAGTCAATGAGACCACCATCATGCTCAAGTGGATGGTGAGTGGGCTTCGCACCAGACTGCCGTGGGAGGATGGGGCAGAGGCTCCCGCTGGGCAGAAGCTGGCTGCTGGCAGCAGGGGCAGGAAGGAATCATTCCTGTGCTCAGCCCTTTTCCTAAGCCACTCCCCTAAAAGTTCCTACCTGTGCACCTGGGGACCGGGCTCTCCACGCAGTGCACCTGAAAGCCCAGGATGCGGGGGTTAGCGGTCTCCTGTTGGTTTTGCTGTCTTGACCTGGTCAGTCTCCAGCTGGCTCCCATTTTCCGATTATGTCCCTTTCTCCTTCTTCCTCTTACTGATGCCACAGGGAGTCCCACACAATTGCTTAGGGTCCCTTTTAAGGTAGAGATACTCTTACATGTCCAGGGAGTTTGAGAGGTGGCTTGAGTCTTGGAGAAATGACAGTTTTCTCTGAAAGCACGTGGCCCTTGAGGTGAAATGAAACAGTGCATCGTCTCTGCAAGGCTCCAGAGAACCTTGAGGGTATCAGCAGAGGCTACCGTTAGGGGCCCCGTGAACTTCACTCCGGCTGGGGGATGGTTTCCACACACCAGTGACTTCGTTTGGATGATGATTTGCCTGCGCCATTGTCAACTTGTTTTCTTCTCACTCCCTGTAGTACATTCCAGCAAGTAACAACAACACCCCAATCCACGGCTTTTATATCTATTACCGACCCACAGACAGCGACAACGACAGTGACTACAAGAAGGACATGGTAGAAGGTGAGAAGGACAGTTGCATGATACAGCTTCCTCCACTGGCAAGAGTGCTGGAGGAACGCAGTGAAGCATAACGCCTCTGTGCGTCACGTCCTTGATGTAGCACTCACGTGAGGCCTTCAAGTTCATAAATCCACATGCTTCCTTCCCGTGCTGATTGGACAATAAGAATGTGGTGGGTGACCAGCAGACAGTGTAGCAGTTACGTCGTTGGACTCCCACATGGCTGACCGTGATTCGAGGCCCAGACCCAGTGATTTCAAACTCATGCTGGGTGTATGGGCATGTGTGCCCAGATCCCGGGAGGAGAATGGAGGAGAGGGGATTGCGGCATGGTCATCCCTCCTGGGGAATGATTTCTCACTTTCTCTGTGTCTCTGGCAAGTGCACGCACCCTATAACAAAAATCTCTCTAAAAAAAAAATGTGGTGGGTACCATGAACATTCCCCCAGTGTTCTCCACCACGCGGCCTCTGTGCCAGTTGGTAGCCCCATCCTACACCACATCCTGGTTCTGACTGTGAGGCCAGGGCCATGCACGACTCTCTCACTCTCTTCCCAGGAGATAGATACTGGCATTCCATCAGCCACCTGCAGCCAGAGACCTCCTACGACATCAAGATGCAGTGCTTCAATGAGGGAGGGGAGAGCGAGTTCAGCAACGTGATGATCTGTGAGACCAAAGGTGAGCCTCTTTGGGTTCCCCTCTCCCTTCTCGCTATTTCCAGCAAACCGGGGCAAAGTCACCACTCCTTGTGCCAGGCTGAGCATCTCTTTCCCAGGAAGGTTCCTTTTTTTTTTCCCCAAGTACCCCAAGACTTTTTTTACTCCTGTCCCTTTGTCTGTGGTACATGCTTCCTTCCCGTGCTGGTTGGACAATAAGAATGTGGTGGGTGACCAGCAGACAGCGTAGCAGTTATGTCGCTGGACTCCCACATGGCTGACCGTGATTCGAGGCCCAGACCCAGTGATTTCAAACTCATGCTGGGTGTATGGGCATGTGTGCCCAGATCCCGGGAGGAGAATGGAGGAGAGGGGATTGCGGCGTGGTCATCCCTCCTGGGGAATGATTTCTCACTTTCTCTGTGTCTCTGGCAAGTGCACGCACCCTATAACAAAAATCTCTCTAAAAAAAAAATGTGGTGGGTACCATGAACATTCCCCCAGTGTTCTCCACCACGCGGCCTCTGTGCCAGTTGGTAGCCCCATCCTACACCACATCCTGGTTCTGACTGTGAGGCCAGGGCCATGCACGACTCTCTCACTCTCTTCCCAGGAGATAGATACTGGCATTCCATCAGCCACCTGCAGCCAGAGACCTCCTACGACATCAAGATGCAGTGCTTCAACGAGGGAGGGGAGAGCGAGTTCAGCAACGTGATGATCTGTGAGACCAAAGGTGAGCCTCTTTGGGTTCCCCTCTCCCTTCTCGCTATTTCCAGCAAACCGGGGCAAAGTCACCACTCCTTGTGCCAGGCTGAGCATCTCTTTCCCAGGAAGGTTCCTTTTTTTTTTTTCCCCAAGTACCCCAAGACTTTTTTTACTCCTGTCCCTTTGTCTGTGGTTCATATTAACTGTGAGTGGGTTGCTTGATGATGCTTCAGGAAGTAACTGTCACGAACTCAGGGAACAGAACCCATTCTCAAGTTGGGAACTTCCTATAAATACTTTGTTCCTGCAATAACATTTGATACTTATGCTGATTGGCTTATGAAATTTAACTACAACCCCGTGAGAAGAGAAAGAAAGTGTACCCTGGGCAAGACTGTGTGTGTGGTCATGTAGTATTGGTGCATGCTTGGGACCAGGTTCATCTAACCGCAGGTCCAGGGCCTTTCCCTGCACTGAAACACGCTGAAAGTACTCTCACGGTGGCTTGTTATACCGTCCACTGGTCCGGTGGCTAGATACCACTATCTCCATTTCGCTAATGCTGGGAATGAGATGTAGCAGGTGTGTTGTCAAAGAGCATACTCGAGGGACCAGCAGTTAGCGTAATGGCTATGTCGCTGGACTCCTACATAGTCGACCGCGGTTTGCATCCCGGACCCGGTGGCTTGAACTCACACCAGGCGCGTGTGTGTGCATGCC